ATCATCTCAGTTTAGTAATCATGAGGCAGAGGAGAGTTCCTTGTTCACCTGGAATCAGGGTACTCCATGAATTCTGTTAACTAATGATTAATTGCTGCTAAATTTGTATTCTATAACCTTTATTCTTCTTTTCTTCTACATCTCTCACAGCTGCTAATCTCTAGATTCACTAAACACTCAGCATCCTTATGAGAACCCTGCTATAAATGATACCCACTGTAATAATTCAAAGAAGCTCCCTGAGTGCTTATTAATTTTTTTTCCGACCTTGGGATAGGGTGTATATTCAAGAAGGGTGCTTATTTAAAACTGGGGTCCAATTTCTATCAAGCTTATCATGTGATTCATTTATTACTTTTTAAAGAAAATGATGAACTGGAATGTCTAACAAGTAAAAACTTACTTAAAAATAAACTTCAGTAAGGGTAGGTGACAAGCTTAATTTTGACAAGAGGAAGTTTGAAGTACTAGCATTTTGTTACAGAAAAGAGTTTATGTTGCAGATAAACGCAGAATCCGTTTTACGATGTACAAGAGGTATACTTTTCTGTCATGGTAAACAAGCACAGGCCTGAACTTATCCTAAATATTCACGACCAAGGTGTAAAAATGTAAATGTAAATTTCGGCCTATATTAACCATATAAAAGAGAATTTTTTAACGAATTCCAAGGTATTATGATGCGTCACTTATTTGATTAAGGCTAATTTCCCCCCTTGGACTCGGTATAGTACCAACGACAAATTGTAATATTACGCATAGGTACATTTCCAAATAGGGCGCGAAATGAAGACGAATTTAGGATAATGTTTACATACAGTGAGAAAGGACTAAATTAAGGAACGAAAGAGTAATTACAAGGATAACAACTCGAATAAAACGCAAGTCCGTTACAATAGCTTGCATTTAGTAACTGTATATTTAACTTACTGCGATAACGTTGACAAAAGTTGTCTTTCCTGAGTACTGCAGGCCAACCAGCGTAAGCTCCATCTCTTCCTTCCAGAACAGACTTTTTATCCAGTCAAGTATACTACGAAAAAAGGCCAACATCTTCGTAGATCTTGTTCGTTTAACGAAACTAAAACTGCAGATTGTCTCTTTTCGTTTTTACTGCTTCCAATCACATGACTCAAGATGGCGGCTCTATACCAGAAGGCATTGCGTTCTCGGTAGACCGCGAGGATCTGGTGACACATTGCAGTCATTCATTCAAAACAATTCAAAAATTACCTCGACAATGGAGGTATGGCGGATTTCATTACGGCGTTCAAACTGAAGGCAAAATGGGCTCGATCGACCAGCTTAAAAGCGAAGTTGAACGTCTAAGTAGTGAACTACAGCAGGCCTGTTTAGAAAAGGTCCAAGCTGCTGAATACGGGCTAGCAGTTTTGGACGAAAAACAGAGATTACAGGAACAATATGATGAGCTGGAAACCCTCTTGGAATCCAACAAGCAGGAACTGGAATGCCTCAAAGAGGTATTTTGTAGGAAATAATCGTGGTTAACCATTCCGTTTGAAAGCAGAATATTCCTACCATTTGATCTAATCAGATCAAAGATTAGAATCGCGAAAAGAGTTCATAACAAAAGTTTGATTTTCTAATATCTTTAATTATTTACATGCGCTAAGCGAGGGAAATATTATTGTGAGGTAGTCAATCAGAACTTCTTCCTTCCTGATTAGATTAGCGTTAATTTTTCAGCTGTAATTTGTACGAATGTTTTCGATGAAAGGGTCATCACGCTTTCTATTTATACCCATCGTATCAAAATATACGATCTCTTCAAAACTTAAAAGTCATTTTGAAATTATAATTTCTCGTGACGTGTAAGACTGCAAATTTTTGTAGTCTAAATTTCTGAGATTAAAAGATTATGCAGATCGTATTGCTTGGCATTTCCCTGAGAGATCACTCGATACCTATATTGATTGAGTTCCTTTTCAAGGCTCACGCCATGGGAGAACTCATCGGCACGCTAAGTTTGATCCATTTCTGTAATCGGAGATCGTTCAGGCCTACAAAATTTTGTAATAGATTATCGATAATTTTCGGTTAGACTTTGAATACTTGAGATTTTATCTGAATGCTGTTGATGTCGTAAATAGATTCTATATATAGCTTAACATGCAATGGGCCAATATCAGCCTCCAGATATTTATATATAAGACTGAATTTCTGTTTCTTTCATATTAGTCCTTCTATTTGTTTGAAATTGGTGCCGAATTAAAAACGAATAGAAGTAAAAAAATATTTATAGCAATGGTCAATGTCCTGAGCCTAAGGTAGATTGTTTACCTATAAATAGTGATAAGGAGGTCTTGGCAGAATTGTGATCAGGTCATCAATATTATCACTGAAATTTGGGAATATTAACCCTGTAATTCCCAAAAGTGATTAACAGAAAACTTCTCTTTACAATATTCATACATTATTCAGCAAACAGGTAATGAGAATATTCAAACTTATCAGGAAGAAGCTGCTATCTTGATCTACTACCAAATTCTCATAACTGATTTTCAAGGAAATGTGTAGCAGCTAGAGGGGAGAATTAATAATCAGATCTTCAGAGTTAAAGGGTTAATATTCATTTCACACAGAGTCTAATCTAAATATACATTTCAAGTGTTTTTTATTCAGTAAACTCTGAACTAGACTAGATGAAGAATGTTGAAGATCTGTTGTTCTCTTAACCCTTTGACCATAAAAGTGACAAGTATCTAATTTCTCCCCACAATATCCCCCCTGAATCAAACATTATGGTCATAAGAATTAAGGAAATGATCATTAACCAAAGATGCTCATGATTGTTAAATAAATTCTCCTTGTCAGCTCCTATGAAAATATACAGAGAACAGTATGGAGAACATGCATACTGATGTTAGGGTGTAAGGAGTTATTTCTAATATTTTTTCTATCCCTTTTCCTCTCTCAAAGGTCCATGAACAGTTGAAACTTGAACAAGAGAAGCGCAGCCGTTTTGGTGATGACAGAGAGGAGAGTCTTGTGAAGGAGAGCGAATCAAGAGAAGCCAATTATCTTCATAAAATTACAGATCTAGAGAGTGAAGTTCGCCAAGCAAGAAAAGCTGAAAGGGATGCACTCATTGAAAATGAACGACTCTGTAATCAAGCCTCCAATTATGTCAAAGAAATCGAGCAATTTGCGCATAGTAAGAAACTACTTAGAGATGAAATTCGAGAACTCAAGTACCGAGAATCAAAGTATAGTCAAGAATTTAGTGATCTTGAAGAGGAAAACATCAACCTTCAGAAGCAATATTCAGCTCTTAGATCATCGATGGTGGAGTTTGAATCCTTGAAGGTTGAAAACAAAAGTTTGACAGATGAAATGGAAGCATTACAACTCCAACTTCAGGTGGCCTGCGAGAAACGGGACCAATATCAGAAACAGCTCAATGAGGCACTGGAATCTTTAAAGGAGCAACGTGATAGAAACTCCTTGCTGCAGAAGGAATTGCAAGAAATTCGCCAGCGGCAGTCACCTACAGTCAGTAGCTGGCATGAGGAAAGCCGGTTTATTGGCATTGAAAGTCCTGAGAAGACTGAAAAACCTGAGCAAGTTGTTGAACATCCCTTGATAAAAAGCATTATTGAGGAATACAAACCAGTTCCTGGCTTGGTGGAAGATCTCATGAGGGAACTCCAGATGTCAGAAGTCAAAGAAATGACTCACAAGCTTGAACAGTTGAGCAGTGAGAAGACAGAGCTCACCAATGCCCTGGCTAAAAAAGAGAAGGATGTCCTGAAGTTGAAGGAAGAATTTGATGCCATCCAGACTCTGACTGAGGCAAAGGTTCTGTGTGAAACTCTAGATGACAGTGATGATGGAGTTGAAGAGAGAGAAGCTTTTAATTCAAAAATAAATAATCAGTTGAAAGAACTTGAAGAGGTAAGGAAACTCTTGAAGAACTATCAGACAAAAGATAACAAGTCTCAAGCTGTGATCAAGGAATTGAAGAATGAGATTGATAGCTTGAGAGCAAAGACTGCAAGCTTGCAAACAAAATCTGATGAGGCAACATTCCTGACAAAGAGAGTCAAAGAACTCGAAGAAGAACTGTTGAATTTAAAGAACAAAGGCATTGAATCTGAAGAATTGATCAAAAATCTTCAAGAAGATGTTAAGTCTATGAGTGATCTTGCTGGAAATGCTCAGGGAAGTCTGAACTGCACTCAAGATGAATTGAAGTATGTCAGTGAAGATCTGCAGCGGCTCTATAATCATGTTTGCTCAGCAAATGGTGATCACCCAGCCAATTCATTTACCAGGAAAGAAAAACAGGAAAAAGTGTCGCATGCAGCATCAAAAATGGAAAGAAAGACAACAGATTCAACTGCAAAAGAAAGCACTGCAGAAGTGAGGCAGTCACCAATGGGAAGTGAGAATCCAAACGAGACCATGGAAAGAGGAGACCCTTATTCCTGTTACAGATTGATCAGTTCGGTGCGTGATCAAGTGAAGTTTTTGAAACAAGCTGTGGAAAAGACAGTGGAAATTTCCAAGCAGCGAGCACTGGAATATCGAGTGGTTGTCAGTGACGATGATGCTAGTAGTGGAGAGGACAGTGATGTTCAAAAGCAGCAAATTGCAAAGCTCCAAAGTTTATTGACAACTAAGCGGGAACAGATCACTACACTGCGGACAGTCCTGAAGGCTAACAAGTCTACCTATGAGGTTGCATTGGCAAATCTAAAGAGTCGTTATGAGAATGATAAAGCAGTTCAGTCAGAGACAGTTGGCCAGTTGAAGAGAAACCTGAAGGCATTGAAAGCTGAAGTGTCAACATTTGCCTCACTTCGCAGCATGTATGCCAATAGGTGTGAGGAATATCTGGTTCAAGTTGATGAGCTGCAGCGAAAGCATGCTGCATCAGAGGAAGAAAAGAAAACTCTTAATCACCTACTCAAACAAGCTATTCACCAGAAAATCGATCTGACACAGAGACTCGAAGAGTTTGAGATTGCCAGGGAAAGGCTGCGTGCATACACAAGAAAAGGCAGTAAGGCCAACCGCTCAAAACCAGTTACCCGAGTCTAGATTTTTATTTTCCTCCCAGAGGTTACTCATTTTTAGTCAGTATATTCTTATATAAGATAATGGAATTATATGTATTTGTTTTACTTTCATTCAGTAACTACAATTACCTGTAGGGAGCAAAGGTTATTAATATTATTCAATCTTCAGTTCAGTGTTTTGTAGCCAAGGGCGAATTGTTGTTTGTTGTTCTTCAAATGTAAAAATGGTAAACCCTTTAACTTCCATAAGTGACCAAGACAGAATTTCTCCTTACAATATTAATACAATATCAAGCAGATAAGTGATGAGAATAAAGAAAAATATCAATTTGGGGATAATCAGTTGATCCAACACTAAATTCTCTGAGCTAACATTGTAAGAATTGTATGGTTGATAGTAAGGAGAATAACAAATTTGGTCTGGGAGTATAAGGGTTAACCTTTTGATCCCTAAGGGCAACTAACATCTTATTTCCCCTTACAATATCACCCCTGAATCAACAAAAAGGTCTTGGGAATAAAGGAAATGATCACAAACTCAAGACACTCTTGATTGTTAGACAAATTCTCCTGATAGGTACATTAGAAATGTATAGAGAACAGTGTGGAGAATTTGCATGCTGATGTTAGGGAGTGAAAGGTTAATCAAAGCATCATGAAACCACATTACAAGTCTCAAGAAAAATACATTTCATGAAGCAAAAGTCACTGGGTTGGAATGGTGCTGATATCCAGCCTGCATCTATTCCATGTGTGTCTTTTGTTGCATATCAGTTAAATTTGATCAGATTTGTATCACAGTTTCATGACTCTTCGATTATCTTTTCATGCAAGTAAATGAAATATTATATTACTAAGGTTTTAATCTTGCACAGTTAAGGTACCTGATTTTGGAGGTTTATGGCAATGGAATTTTTATCTTGAAATATTCATAAAAACAGAATTTTAAATGAGTATTTTACATTTTACAGTGTGAAAGCAATATTTTACAGCATCTCAATATTACCTTTTTAAAAAGTTTGATGGAATAATTATTATAAAAATTTGGTAATTTAATTGCAATGTTTGATATATTGTAATATGAATATTCTCTTAAAATGAGTGTCAGCAACTATCAAATATTTTTATCAGAGAAAAATATATATTTATATATATTTGAACAGTGAGGTGAGCACCCAGCGTAAAGTTTGTTGTGCATGTAGTCTGCAGGTGTCAAAGAAGGTAAAAAGCACATTTGCTATTAATATCAAATTTTTCATGACAAGTATTTTAACCCTGGTTACTTGATTTTATCAGATGTGATACTGTTGAAAGAATTTAAAATGAAGTGTTGAAAATATTCTTATTTTGGCTAGTGTTGATTATTGAAAACAATTGAAAGACTTGGTGGAGGTGTTGTATCGTTGTGATGTAAATTCATCCTTCAAAAAATCAGAATAATTTTATAAGAATTGAAATATATTCACTTTGGGGACTAAAAAACTATCAGGAAACCTTGACAGATCAGGAGTTCTTGTAATTTTCCAATATTTTATTCAGGTGGAGTGGCAAATCTAGAACTTTGTTTCATGATATATATACTGGAAAAAAATCCTAAGCGAGATCAGTTGGGTCATGTTCAAAACTCTATCTTAGGTGGATGTTGGTCTCTCATAAACAGACATTAAATTAAATAATCATGGTTACATTCAAGTATTTTTATAAACCCTGCATTTTATTTTATTGTTAAGGGAACCCCTCATTTCCCCAGCCACTTTTGACTTTTTATAATCCCAGCATTCTCTCTTGGCATATTTGGTCCAGCAATCCTTTGTGTTTTTATAACTTAACCCTTTAACTCCCAAGATCTGATTGTGAATTCTCCCTTCTAGCTGTCACACACCTCCTTGTAATCAAGTTAAGAGAATTTGGTGTTAGATCAAGATAACTACCCGTATTGAGTATTCTCATTATTCTCATTATTTGTTTGCTGGATAGTGTGTGAATAATGTTGGGAGAAGTTACTGGTTAATCACTTCTGGGAGGTAAAAGGTGAACTTAACAGAGAAACAGTTTTTTAATGGAATAGAGAAGGATCTGCCAAATAAATACTGGGTAATTATGAGGTTGAAAGCATCTCAACCAACATAAGTCCTTTGTAGTGTGGATGACGCACACAAGGCTTTAATTTTCAAAACTTGAGTGAATGAACTTCTTTCTTTTGACTACACATTAGTAACATGAAGCTTTGCAAGAAAGCCAAACCTTTTGACTGCCAGAATGGGTGTGACCTCTCCTCATCACAAAAACCCTTATACACTGAGTGCTCCCCCTCCCACAAAGAAGAAAGACCATTGCTACATTCTTGGGCTGATGCATTGCTTGATGACAGAAAATTTTCAAGAGCTGCTCACAAATACTGAGAGAAGCATGCAAAAAGTGTGGGGTGCCCTGGCTGATGACAATAGTAAAGTAACTTACATCAGTTGTATCTAAAATAGCATCCCATTTATTCAAAATATATGCAGTACAACACCACTGTTAACTTCCTCATCTTTCCTCAGTCAGTATACATATTTCATTAAAAAAAGACAGATTGATATTCATATTTGTCAAACTGTCACAAGACAATACAATAGTTTATTGACACACTGACTAAACAATGCTCAAGAATGAGTTAATTTTTAATAAATTTATTTTTTCCCAGATATGGAAGTTTTGCTCCAGGTCTTTATGATAAATTTAAATTTTAAAGTATGTTATAGCTGTAACAAATGAGATCTCAACATTTTTCAAGCTCAATTCTGGAATTTTGCACTTAAACACCTGTAATTTTTTTTAAAAAATTCTCAACAATTAAGTTAATAATAAGTTCAAACATAAACTTGCAAAATTGACTGTTCAGCATGCAGTCATTTATTACCTTAAGTGACAAAAGCTATGGCTATCTTATTTAAAACTGTAATTCAACTTCAGAGGGTTTGATGTGTTTGATCAAGAGGAAATGCATTTTCCTTTAAACAAAACTTTCCTTTGTGGTCTGTTATTATTTGTCTGTCAGATTTTGATTCACATCCATCAGTGCATAAAGTTGATAAAGGCCTTCTGCTGAAGATACACTCTTGATTTTCTAAATCTGAGTGAAGGTGAATGCCTTGCCCACCCTACAAGAAAAATGATTACATTTAGATGGCAAAATTCTCAATGAGCTGATTTGGATCCTGGTGGTGACTGTAACTACCTTTTCAAGATTTACAGCTGACACCTTTGGTCTGATGGGAGAGAGCTCTGGAAATATGTGCTGTGGCTGCTTCAATGAACTTTCTCTGAAGTATGGTGCTTTACTAGATTTCTTGAAGGTGGTATGACCAATGGTCTCTGAGGTGCGGCCTCTTTTATCTAAAAAATAAAAATAAAAACAACAACAATGACAACTTTTGATTAAGGATTTTTAGATTGTAAGTTTAGCGCCTCTAGGAATTATGTGTGGAGTTACCTTTTTTCTGCTTCTTCTTCTCCCTGTGAGCTGCCATGATCACTTCCAGACTAAGGAGATCTTGGCTTGCTCGAGCTGTTGCTTTACTAACCCTCTGGGATATTGCTGTGTTGGTGTTGCTCTTGAGCTGTCGTTTCTTTTCAAAATATTCCTTTTGATATAAACTAGGTTTTAAGCTTGTTCAGTAAGAATCCACAGGAAAAAAAAAAACAAAACAAAACAGAAAAGAAACTCTTAGAAGTATAAATATATTTTAATTTAATCCTGTTACCCCTACAAGCATACTTGATTAGCATCTAATTTCTCTAGACAATATAACTCCTGAATCACACACCAGGGTCATGAGAATGAAGGAAATGATCACCAACTAAAGAAATTTTAATTGTCAAACATTTTCTCCTTGTAAGCACCTTAAGAAATATATGAAGAACAGTATGGAGAATATGCATACTGATGTTAGGGTGTGAAGGATTAAGCTTATCAGTAGGGTAAGAAGCCATAGAAGAACGCCAGTTAGAAGTATAAGCAGATCTTTAACAAATAAAACATTTTGATGCCCAAAAATCCGATTAAATTTTTTTTAATCACATTGCAAACTAAGGTTTTTGAATTTTACCTTTTGCAACTTTGTCTCATGTTTAAGCTTGAGGCGGCTCCTAAAAAAAATGAAGAGTAACTTGCAGAAAGACAACATTCTTGGAGTTGAAGAAGTAAAGTACAAAATTCATTTCGGTTCGTTCGTTCGTTCGTTTGTTTTCTTAATCATACTACAAGCATCCTCTCTCTCTCACATGACTCTGACCCTCCAGAAAATTCCAATTGGTTCATTTAATTTAATTGCCTTTGAGTTAAAAGGCCCGTATTCCTGTAGCTATGTCCTAATTTCGTTTTTGACGGCGACAGCTTTCTGCCACCTAGAAATTTACATTCCTCGGAGAAGAGAGGAGCTTTTGAGATCTTGCACCCTTCGGGTGGGTGTGGACATTTTGTGGACAACATAACTCACTTTGAGTAAACTTATGCTTCATCCACTCACCCAAATGATTTACTATGCGACAGGTTAAATGATCCGGAAAAACCACGAAATTCAGCCGAGATAAATTTTTCAATTCTCTTGTGCCATTGCCATCTAACAAAATTTTGATATCCTTTAATTTTGACAACGATCCAAACTTTTGGAGATATAAGATAAAAGTATCGCAAACTCATCCGCTTAGCAACCACAAATAAGCTTATCTCATACCGGATTATCAACTATGATAAGCTTCACTTTGTAATCCGCCCTCTCTGAATCGATTATATTTGCAAGTTGATAATAAATGAGACATTAAACGTAATTAACCGCACAGGCCCCCAACGGAACTAATTTAAAGAACAGAAGACCAATAGCTCCTCTAACACAAACCGCTAAACAATCAAATAATTCTCTAAAAAAGACGTATTGTTTCAACAAAATTGGCGTTTCACACATTCCAGACTAAAAGGAGAACGTGCAAGCGTTTCGCGCCAGTGACGAAAAAAATTTGATTTTTTAACAAGGGTTTAGGACTAATTCTGCGAAAATTTTAGTTTAACTGAGTAATTTTTTGTCTTTATGCCACAAATGGGCAATATTATGGTCACATTTGAGTTGTTTTGTTGTTTTGCTCCTAGAGATAAACTCACCGCGCTCCGCCGACCCAATTCATGTTTTTGTTTAAGAGGTATGTTACAATGGGGAGTAAATGAAGTAGAAACTTTAGCTATTTTACTAGCAAAAAATTTTTTCATCGCTAGTAAGGTGGACAGAAAAAAAAAGCTCTTTTCGGGGTTGAGAACTATTTTTTTCTGTTACTTCCTAATGACATGCATGAGAAATATGCAACCCACCGTTACTAGAATGGGAAATATTTACTCGAAAATTTGCATACAGGGAGATCTGAGCATGCGTAATTGACCTGTGATACGTTTAGCGTCGGTGACTCACTGTTTATATATTCTTGCGAATTCAATGCTGGTCGACACTATTTGAAATGTTTTATCCAGCAGATCCACGATCATAATCGTCAAGGAATGTCGAGTCTTCCCAATTTACGCAATTCTTTACCTCGTAAAGGAAAACACTGGTCTTACAACGTCCACGAATGCATTCTTCTGAGGGGACCTAAGACTGGAAATTTCAATCTTCATATTGTAGGAGGTGCAGAGAATGGCGAATTTATCTGTATTGGGGACGTTAAACAAGATAGATTACGGTACAGACGAGGGAAAATTCAACCTGGAGATGTAGTTTTGGAAATCAATGGAACTCCTGTGGCTGGTTATACTCAATTCGATGTGCTACCTTTGATCAAGAGTTCGAAGGAAGCTGCAACTCTTCGCATTGTAAAGCCAGGTTAGATTAAGTGTTTGCGTTAACATTAATCACGATATACCACTTGTATATCTTTCAATGAGCTCACACAACCGATACAGAGCTAATCACGACATTATCAATCTTAACTTATGGATTTTTGCACTATAAGTTGTCGCGTGTGATGTCGATAATTACATATAATTCGAACAAGCTGTTTAAAATCCTGCAATCGAGTTTAATTGGAATGTTAGATGAAATACCTCCGTAATGGCATCAGAAACGCATGCCTGCGGAATCTCATGAATTTCCCAGTATCTGATCCGCACGAACCCAAAAAAATGCAATCCAAACTTTCAATGAACCATGCTGTTATTTTTATTGAGACGGGACCTGCGATCGGATTTGCCTCTGTTTGGAAACTAATACTTGTAGCTGTCAATGTTTCGTAAGGGAAGCTTTATTATTGATGATGATATTACAGATTGATGTGTCACCAATATTATGTGGGTCATTGAACGTAATTTTCAATTGAAGGATTAAACATGAATGTTGCGTTCCTGTGGCTTGGGCAATCGTGGCTTTTTCCTTGTGGTATTCCCTTAAAATTAGACTCTGACTTACACATCAAACTGAAATTAAGACTTTTGAGGCAACGTTATTTTTTCATCAGTAATTGATTTATCGTGATATTATGATATTGCAACCTACACTTATTTAAAGGTTTTTCTAAGGACAACATTCCAAGCCTGCCCACAAATTAAAAAATAATGATGAACTTATTAAGTCCTTAGTATACAAATAGTTTCATGTTTGAAAGTTCCAAAAGTCTTTCTTAGTATGTGAGTTGCATACTATTTTCATGAATCTATCAGAACACTTCATCCACTCAACAATTGATACAATTTGAAGTTCTTAATTTGCCGTAAAGAGGAAAATTAATTCTGTGTTAATGGCAAATTACAACATTTATATTGAGTATTGTGTACTCCTTGTATGACCGTTTTTAGTTTGACATAAAGTTTGAAAAGTTTATTTCACAAATATCCTCTATTCTTAGGAATAAAAGGGTTAAGTTTCTAAAGAAACCTTAGTGTTGTATCAGTGAGGGATTATAACAGGAAATTTTCTTTTATCAACCAAGTTGGTGATGTAAATTAGCCATCATAAAGAGTTTCAAAGTTGACATTTTTATCATTTGCTCTGATAAGGGCTAATGCTTTAAACATCAGCTTAAGAAGTCTTTGTGGTGGTGAAGTTACATTATCGACTCAGTTGATAAACCAAATCAAATTCCTATTTGCTATATTCCGATATACTCAGTTGAGTCAATGCTGCAAGCTATCTGCGTAGTTTTGTAGAGGGTGAGAATAATTGGAATCTTGATAATCCCAGACTGTTTATGATTGTGTCACTAATTATTTTATAATTGCATTTACACTGATTCTGCTCTTTGTCAAGTTCCATGTGAGATGAAAACTTAGAGAGTATGTATAGGAAGTTTGGAAGAACAAAAGAAGGCTAGTTTTTTTATCCTAACATCAGAATGCAAATTCTCTGTACAAATCTTCAAACAATCTGTATCAATGGTACTTACAAGAAGTTGTTTAACAATAAAGAGCTTCTTGAGTTTGCGATCATTTCCTTTATTCTCATGGGAGAAATTAGATGCTTATCACTCTTTAATTAATAGGTTAAAAAGCTGCATGGGGTAGAACTGCTGGGAGAATACATCAATTAATAAATTTGCAAGTAGGCTACTGGAACAATTATCTTCAACATGACAAAAAATGAATTGATTATTTAAAAAAAAAAAAACATTCAGCCCCCAGGAATGCCATAATCACAAGCCAAAGGGGAGTAATTTCAAATTTTCTATGCAGAGTTTTATTAAACTTTCCATTATTCATTTATTTTGTTACAGGAGAACAAATTTCAAGAGACTTGCAGAAATATCTTTCAACCAGATTTGACAAAGTTTCAGTGGATAGTGACTTGCAGCAAACCATCAGAGAAAATCTTTACAACAGGACAGTACCATGTAAGTTTTACCTCAGTTCTCAAATTTTCACGCGATTGTCAAGTCTTTGAACTCTAAAGTTATGGTGCTTTTTTTTTGTTTGCAACTCTTGGAATATTTCTTTTTCATTGTGTAGGGAAGGATGTCCATTGCTTGTATTAAAAGTTTACTGTCAAAATACCAACTGTGTAAAATTTTCCGACTCCACCTAAATCAGTCAAAAAGCATTTTATCAAATGACTGTTGCTCTTCGTTTTTCTGTCTTTAATCTTTAAGCTTAGAACTTGCAGGTCATACGCCTCTTTCTGGTCTTGCTTGTGTCACCATATACAACTCTCATGCAGGAATTCTATACTGGTTTTATAATAATATTTGTTATGAAATTTGACCTTAAATTCTTCTTACTGGACAGGTACAACACGATCCCCAAGAAATGGTGAAATACCAGGAGTTGATTATGTGTTTCTCTCCTTGGAGGAGTTTGCAAGGTTAGAACAAAGTGGTAGCCTTCTTGAAAGTGGAATTTATGAAGGGAACCACTATGGCACACCAAAACCACCAAGGGAACTTCTGCCAGCTGATAACATGATCTTTGTGCCGGCTAAGGGAAAGGCAACAGAAGACAAGGGAAGACCAAGAACAGCAGATAATCTCGGACCACTGCCACCAAACTGGGAGGTTGCATACACTGAGGATAACGTCAAGTATTTTATAGAGTAAGTATTGCTTAAGTGTTCAGCTATACCTGTATGGTTTACAGATCAGACTGATTGTTAAGCTTTAACTCCCATGAGTGACAACTTGACTTGGTGTGAAAAGGGTCTGGGACTGGAGACAGTGACAGGGGTCTGGGAATGAAGGCATCAAAACTATCTGAATGATAAAAATTATCTGCAGATACAGCTGAATTAAGTTCAAAGCGGAAATTTCTATCAAAGCTGGTTACCAGCAGTCTTCCACTACCCATTAAACCTCTTATAGCTGTCTGTTTAGCTAAGGAGCAGGCTCACTTGTTTGGGTCTCACTAACATAAGCTGCAGCAATAGCATTCTGACTGCTCAGGGTTGACAGACAAACTACATACTTGTTAATAAAAGAATTATTATAAGCAGCTGTCTTTTTTATCCTTAGAACACTGGAAATTACCTTTCAAGCTTCTAGATTTCAATTTTTTTTTTGGAAGGAGCCTCTCCCTCCCCCTTTCTTTCTTTCCCCCCCCTTGGACAAAGGTTACTTGTGGTTCCTTTTCTGAGCACAGCTGCTTATGCAAAAAAGTTCTTGAAATCCCTGTTATAGTGAAGAGAAAGACTAAAGATCTTATTATCTACTATTTCAGTCATAGGACTGGCACCACTCAATGGGTTGACCCAAGAATGGCACAGGTGAAGAAAGCCACAGTTGACGATTGTGACGAGGATGGTATGTTATCAGTATTTTTGGGAATGTAGTTTGTTTCCTGTTTTTTGGGAGGTGGGTTTATCATGTTCCTGAGAGTACCATTGTTTTTCCATTAAGCTTCCTCTGAATATTAGGAAGAAAACTTCTGCTCAATGGATAATAGCCTTAAGTCGCATGATATTTGTATTGTTGACTGCAAACAGCTTTACATGTAAATGGTTTGTTTTTCCTTTCAGAACTGCCCTATGGCTGGGAAAGAGTAGATGATCCCAAATATGGAACATATTACATAGAGTAAGTGTGCGATTCCTTCTGTAAAATATAAAATAATCCATTTCTCCCAGGACAGAGACATGGTGGCTTATTGGTGAACGTGCTGGACTTCTGGCTGAGAGGTCTGAGTGTGAGAAGTAGTTGTGTCTTTGTGTTGTGAGAGATCCTCTCTGCAACAAGGAGTATAAATTAGGTACAAACGAACTGACGAATGCCAGGGGGTACCTTGTGATGGACTGCACCCCCCATTCACTCCCAGGAGTGATCAAAATGTCATTTCTACATACAATATCAATTCATTGTCAGGCAAGGAACATTGACTAGACTGTTTCATTTACACTACATTCTCAAAGGTAAAAATTGTTGGAAAGAAATGTAAAACAAAAATGGAAAAGAGAATTGCTCTTGAGATCTCAAGGGTGAACAGCTTAAATGGTTTCTTTATGTAAAGTATGGTTTGTACACACCTTCATTGAAGATTAATAAGAGGTTAGACTTTCTAGTGACACGTTTGTGACAAGACAAAAAAACGTCTTTCTCTTCCCCACAGATTCTTTTGTAATTTAGAAATACTGTATTTCAAAGGTGGCAAGCAAAGATATAATAATATAGTAGTTATTTTGTATCCTTTACAGTCATGTCAACAGAAAGACTCAGTTTGAGAATCCAGTGCACGCACGCAGACGACAGAGTCAGTCAAGCAGTGTGTCATACTCCACTGCACCTCCTCCACATGAGGGACCCCCATCCTTCCAGTCTGCGGCAGCTTTGGCTAAAGCACAAGAAGCTGAGGCCCACTCAAGGTCTGTTCACCCTTCACAACCTAACATCAGTATGCATATTCTCTATACTGTTCTCTATACATTTCCCAAGGTGTAGACAAAGAGAATTTGTTTACCAGTCACAGCTTCTTCAGTTGGTGATCATTTCTTGTATTCTCATGACCTTCATGTGTGATTTTGCAGTGATGCTTTAAGGAGAATTGAGATGCTAGTCACTCATAAGGGTAAAAGCGTTCAATGAATTAACAAATCTCTTTGTTTTTTTTGTTGGAATGTTAACCTTTTAATTCCAGGAGTGAGCACCAAAACACCTTCAGGCCGAGAGGTATTGGGAATGAATACAAACATAAACAAGGGGATATTGTTTAGTTTAACACCTGAAATTGTAAGAAATAAATGGCAGAAATTGCAGAGAATTGATATTTGCAAATCAGGAAAGAGAATTTTTCAGGGGCTTTATCATGGATGGTCCATCCCCAAAATTTGAATCCGAATTTTTCAATCTCTGCCATTCCTGCGTATTGGTCACTTTAATGACAATGGACTCTCCATCAACACTGGTGAATTCGCCCACACCATTGGTCAACTTGTTGACAACTTCGGTGAATTTGCTGTGCCAACACCAAGTTTTGCTACACAAGTTGTTGCCAAAGACAACTGTCACCGAGTTGATTTATGGTGTCACCGAGTTGACTTGTCTGTGAAGTGACTGGGCACCGCCATCATTAATGTTCCTTACCATCTTTTCTCACTGAGCTTTCTTAATACTTTGATTTCCCATCAGATGGCCGGATGTTGAGTTTTCTCAGCCGCCTCCGCCAGCATACACAGACGATAGCACCAACCAGCAGTTGCGATCCCACCCCTCTTCTGTGGACGGAAGACAGCTGCAAGGTCAGGTCATAGTAACAGAATTGATCAAAGGAATGCGTGGGTTCGGCTTCACCATCGTGGGTGGGGACCAAGTTGGGGAACTCCTACAGATCAAGAGCATCGTCCCAGACGGTGCCGCGGCAAAGGATGGTCTGCTAAGAATGGGTGATGCTCTGAAAAGGGTCAATGGCATGTCTGTGTTGACTCGAAGTCATCAAGATGTTGTCAGCATGTTTCAAGCCATGCCCATTGGGGAGAGTGTCGAGTTGGAGGTGGTGCGTGGGTATCCTTTACCCTTTGATCCGGATGACCCCAATGTGGAGACAATTGGATCCTACACAGTGGTACACGGGACCTCAAATGGGTCAGAGTCACCTCTGCCGCGGTCCTCTGAGGAGAACAGTCCAACGTATCCCCCGCATCCACAAGGACAGGCGTTCAATAAATGGAGTAACTCACAAGGTAAGAATGAACTTATAATGACACTTGAACTGAGTGGGGTGAAATTTGAGTCCAGTTCGGTCTGTAATCACACGAGTGGTTAGCAAAATCGGACGATCGTGAAGCCGGAGGCCGATTTTTGAACAACGAGCATGATTGCAGACGGAATTGGGCGACACAATGTCCTGTTACCAGGCAATCAAAACTATGACAAAATTTGAGGAACAAAGAAGCCATCGGTTAAACGTTTTCATGAAAAACAACACTCAACTCAGCGAAATGCGCGACAGTAGCACGCGCACATGATGCGTTCTGTCCACTTACACGGGATTGACCTGTCAATTGTCCAATTACACTGTCCAGTTACAAGCATGCCGCTTACAGTGTCCTATAAGTGATCAAATCGGACTGGTAATAACCAATCACCTTCGAGAATTTTGGCTTAGTTTTTATTAGGTTTGAAATAACACGTGTGATTTGAAGTCAGTTGTATGATTTGGGACCAAACTTTCTCAAGACAGAGTTGAATTACTTCATAATCACATCCATTTTAAAAATATCGCATTAAATTTTTTTCTAATACAGGCTTTTGGACAGTATCAATAGTTTTTTTTTTTTCGATTCCCAATGTTCTTAGCGGCTAATCGTTAGTAATGAGCGTTTTTACGAATTTCTCAAAATGGTGCGCAAAAACGCAGCAAAATGACCTTGAATGAAACTGGAGAAGTAAATCGTTGCGTCGGCGTAAATATTCGCTTTAATTGTTCGTATCAATCACCGAAAAAAATTAAATTCGATTGGCGTGTAAATCACTTAGTGTGCCACTAGGTGAAAAGAATGGATTCTTTTAGAAAACCCACTTTTTTTTTCAGAACCGTTGGAATCTCCATTTGCCCCAGGAGGGTACCCTGGATCGAGCTTCCCTCGGACATCCACGAACAACACCCTTCCACGAGGCACCCCTGAGCTTATCACAGTCCCGGTGGTGAAGGGCCCCATGGGATTTGGGTTCACTATCGCTGACAGCCCGTATGGTCAGAAGGTGAAGCAAATTTTGGATGCGCCCAGATGTGTTGGGCTTCAAGAAGGCGACATTTTGGTGGAGATTAACGGGCGATTGATCCGTAACTGTACTCACAATCAAGCAGTGAATATTCTGAAGGAGTGCCCCAAGGGACAGGAGGCATTTATCGTGGTTCAAAGAGGAGGTATGTTGTTAAAGGAGCTGTTACTAAGTTCTTGTATGTTCAAAGGCTGGATATGATTATTTCAATCCACCAAATGGAACAATTTTCAGTGCAGGGAATCTGTGATTGCAAGTTTTGCTTTACGGCTTCTTGTGAAATATTCCCAAGCACTGACAGTTAACGACTATTCACCAAAATAGAGGTGGCTAGTGAAGCGCACAGCGTGAAGCGGCGAGGTAAATATCCATCGCTAGTCACCGACACTGAGATGAATTGTAGTTTTAGTATATACTAAAGTAATAAGATAAGACAACGCAAAAAGACGATTTTAACTCATCTATCCCTGCCACGATTACTAAATTTTCAGATGCAAATCCTGCGCGCAAATGCTGGGAGGTGAGTATGAAAGGATTTTGGGAGTTTGAGTAGCCAATCAGAGCGCGCCTTCAACGCAATCCTCTGTTATAATATGTACTAGATGTTGTTCTTAAGTTTTTTTTTTCACGTATATTTTACTCGAGTTATCTTAAAGTATCGGTGTCTTGAAGCACTTTTGCTGGTCCTACAAGGTTAGAGATTTTGGAACTTACGGACTGATTTAAATATATTTTATTTTTCTCTTTGATTCACAGGGATTCCAACACCACTTCGAAACAGCCCTTCATTTGGAAGAAGAGAAAAGGTAATGGATATTTTATGCATGAGATTGCCACTGCAAATCTCCTAACGTCAGTGTTTGATACACTGATGTGGAGAAAATGATTAGGAAGGAGGAAAGTGTGCGAATGGAGCAGCAAATTCTCTATACTAGCCAGTAAGGAAGTGTTTGGTTATCAATTGAAGAATTAACTTTACGATTTTACGATTTTACGATCTTAGGAGTGAAAAGGTATTAGTCGAGTTTCTACAGAGCGAGCTTTGGCCGCACATATCTGAGGAATTACCCTCTTTCTTTTTAAGGAGCAGGAAGTTATCGCACCAAGATTTGCTCGTCCAAAATCCACTCCTGTTATGGGCTCAAATCATGTCGGTCAGTCTCTAGTGGAACATGGAAGCACTGGAAACCTAGCAACTGCCGGAGAGAGCACTAGGAATCAGGAGACTGGGTACGAGAACAGAATGCTTGGACAGCCATCTTTGGACAAACGTTCTGAGGCTCTGTTTAATTCATATCCATCACTCAAGAAGGCTGTCGCTAATGCTGCGAGAAGGTAAACTCGTGAATCGTGTATCGCTGTGTTTAAAGCAATGGAATATCTAACGTGATCCAGCTTTTATTGGTTTTGATTCACTTCGCTATTTGATTGGTCAAGAAAACTCGCGCCATAATTTCAGCCGATCAGATGCAAAATCTAAAACCAATCGCGACGTGGTCACTCGCGTTGTCCCGCGCTTCAAGCAGGTTGCAGGTTTTGACTTTGAGTTCTCATTGGTTAATGATGATGTCAAACGTTATTCTGATTGGTAGCTGTGACTGTTTAGGTTTTGGATTTTCGACACTCAATTTAAAACTTCCGGTATGGAAAAATATTTGAGATTGTAATGGAAGAATTAAAATAATGATTTTAGATTAAAACTTATCGTGACTTAATGATTGATGTGAAATTACATTTCTCGAAACAGAGAGATTCAATCGTGCAAGGTTTTGAACCAAGAAGTACCTTTAATCTTGTCTCAACTAATTTTCAGGTCAATGGAAAACTTGACTGCTCCAGAAGCACTGCCTCCCCCGGAAAGCCCTGACTCATTCAGTTTCACAGTGCACCTTCAAAGGGGGGAGATGGGGTTTGGTTTTCGTATCATTGGGGGTCAGGAGGAAGGCACACAGGTAATGAAAAGAAACAACAGTTTTGAGAACGTGTTTGGCACTTTTTCTCGATTTGTTTGTTCATCAGTAAATTGTAACATTTTCGTGGTAAATGGGATTGTCTTCGTCATTATTAGGTGGCAATAGGTACGATCGTCCGGGGGGGACCTGCCGACTTGGACGGTCACCTTCAGCGAGGAGATGAGATTCACAATGTGGACGGTATAAACGTGATTGGTGCCACGCATCGCCGTGTGATCACACTTATGGGTAACGCTGCGCTGGCTAAGGAGGTCAAGCTTGGTATCTATAGAAACCCGAACAAATCAGGACGTAAGTAAAAACATGATTTATTTTGGGTGCAATAGAGGGTGATTTCGTGTGGACGAAAGTCATCGAATGACTTTCTTCCTCGAAGATAAATAGAAAAGTTAAGACATTCTACCTTGCGTTCTTCTGAACCTCCCTTGAAAAATGTTGTGTTCCTCTGTTTTCTCAAATAAAAACGGATGCGAAAATTTAAACAAACAAAAAAATAATAACAAGACAGAGCATTAAGTCTTGACGATCTCTTAAGTGAAAGGGAACATGGCGTTTTTTTTTTCTCTTGGAATGCTTCCTCGTGATGATCAAGCAATGGCTGGCATAGTCGCTCTAAAATTCTGCAACCTCAAAATTGCATTCTGCAAATAGGAAGTAATAGTAACTTTCAGTATGTAGCTGATCCGTGTGTAGTCTTTCTCGTCATAGCTTTTGTTCTCGTTAAAGTTTCTATCATAAATTCTATCCATTTTGTTATTTATGGCGGGGCGCATGCAATCTAGTTATGGATGACTAGTTAAAGCTTAAATTTCCTAAAAGCTGGTTTTCATTCTATCCGTGAAAATCTACACGCCGTATTACCCTCCTCCGACCCAACGTCGTTATTTTTTTCATGTGATCATTTTTACCCAAGGGGCTACTCCCACGGGTGCCATGCGGCGTTCCCGTTCAGCATCAACGGAACTCTCCGAAGCCGCTCTTGGGGGAATCAAGGCAAGAGAGGGGTCAAAGTCAACCGGGAATCTCAACCACTACGGGAGGAACCACTACCACGACCCGGACGAGACTTCTTCCCTTCGGAGCTATCACTCTACCCCTGGGGAAAGTTTGACTTCTGGTGGGTTACCACCTCAAAGGAACAGACGCGTAAGTGAGAGTGACGCAAGAGCTGAGCCCCAGGGTCCCACGTCTTACCGCGACGTCATGCTGGAACGAGAGGATAACGAGAGCTTTGGGTTCGTGATATTTTCTTCTGTTCACAAAAGCGGATCAACAATAGGTGAGTGATAAATTTTAGTTGTTCAAAAGTCAAATAGGGTACTTTAGTTTCATCAACTGAGCTGATAACGTGAATTAGTTGATATCTTGACAAACATCCTGCGCACTTCCAGGATCAGCGGTTTCAAAAGCGTGGAATAGGGAGATTGAGTAAGGAAGATAGATTAAAATAGGTTGTATTTGTTATCGTGGAAAATAACCCTTTTAAAGTGTGATCGTTTGTCTTACGATGTGGTCACTACTTATGAGGATCACGTCAAATAAGCAATATGTTAAATTTTAGGCTGATTCGTCAAATGATGAAGATTTAAAACAGTTATGACTAGTCACGAGTCCCCTTTTTTCCCTTGTGATTTCATTCCCAGACCCCTTGTTACATGCTCCCTCTCTGTTCTCAGGTCGTATCATTCAAGGCAGTCCTGCCGATCGTTGTCGTCAGCTTCACGTGGGTGATCGTCTGGTAGCAGTCAATGACGTCAGTATCGTCGGTCAGCATCACGGTGATATTGTAGAAACTATTAAACAATCTGGAAGAACTGTCACTCTTAGGATAGCCCAGCAACGGCCTTTGGGTACGTTATAGTATATGCACTTAATCCTTTTCATCCTAACATCAACATGCATATTCTCCTTACTGTTCTCTATAAATTTCCTAGGGTACTGAGAAGGAGAATTCGTTTAACAATCGAGGTTTCTGTCATTGGTGATCATATCCTTTATTCTCATGACCTTAATGTGTGATTCAGGGGTGAAATTGTAAGGAGAAGTTAGATGCCAGTCACTCTCAGAGATAGCCCTCGACGGCAACGGGAACGTGACGAAACAGACGTTTTAATGAGCAGACAATTTCACACGTGCATTTGAAAAACGTTTTAGTTACAAAGTCGTCCTATGCTAGATAACTTCTTTAAATCGCTAAATGTTTCGTCGGAGCAGGAGCTAAGAAACCCCGACAGCAATTCATTCTCGTTGCTATTTGAAATTCCGTGCTGCAGCCACATTTTCCGCTGAAGAACAGATCTGATCTGGTTGGAGGAGACAAATTTATCGAGCTGCTTATGCAATTTGTGATGGATGTTTTCCGAGGCGTTGCTGTCGTCACATTTGACATTTCTCATACATATCTGTCAAAAACTTTTTAGTAATTGTACTTTTGATTTCACGCAGATAACACGGACTCTAGAAGATTGGCGCGAATGGTAAGTAGTTCATTTGAGATAGTTTAAGGATACTGCATAAATCTCATTACAAACTTTTTTAAAATTAAGGAAATTTATGGGTTTTTTTAACGGAAAAGTTGTTTTTAACGGAAAAATCACGAAAAGATATGAAGGAGTGAGTGATTGCAGCATAACCCCTGTGTGTCTGACAACAGATAGCGATTACTGATGAGTCATTTAATGCATTCTTACACAGAGTACCCCGAATATCACCAAAGCAAGCGATGCTTATGACGGCAACAGTGACTATAGAAGGGACGCTGACCAGTGGAACAGGGATCACGCGTACTCAGACCAGGTAGGAAGTAAAGATACGGACCTCTTGTGGTGGTCTTGTTTTGATCGCTGGCCTAACCTTAGCTAAGACACCCAGTAACGATCTACTTTAGTAAAAATGTCACCTGAAATTTGAATTACCAATTATTTTTCTCGTCAGGTCGTTCCCGATAATCGCTTCCAAAGCCTTCCCAGGACACAGAACCACAATTCACAACCGCCACCAAAAGTCCCTCCCCGGGTGGCTCCAAAACCTTCACGAGAGAAAGTGCTTCGGGTGAAAGAAGAGCAACGGCGTCAAGAAAACAGTGTCTATAATGTGCGAAACGATCCGAGGAGGAGATCGAATCCAGAGATTCAGTACAAACAACCACAGTTTTCGCAGGGTTACACCGGAGGGATAAACGATGAGCGGGGCTATGACCTACAGACCATGGAGGTGGATCTGATGCGGGATTCCCAGGGGTATGGGTTTAGTATCCGAGGGGGAAGAGAGCTGGATTTACCGATATTCGTGCTGCGCATGGCTGAGGGTGGAGCTGCTCAAAGAGATGGCAGGCTCAGGGTAAGTGAAAGCGCAAGAGCAGCATTTTTTAAAAATCGTATTTTAGTGAATTTTCATAGCGGCTCAGCTCGTGATTGGAAACGTCATATTTGCTGTCACACGAATTGCAAATAAGTTGAAATGTGTAAGCTTAGTGAGTTGACCCTTTAACCCCTAAGAGTGACTAGTATCTAATTTCTCCTTTCAATCTCACACCTGAATCAAACATTAAGGTCGTGAGAATATAGGAAATGATCACCAGCCAAAGAAGCTCTTGATTGTTAAACAAATTCTCCTTGTCATCATCTTAGGAAATGTATAGTGAACAGTTTGGAGAATATGTATACTGATGTTAGGGTCACCCATTCTTTTAGGTTGGAGACGAGATATTGGAGATCAATGGCAGAAGTACAGAGAATATTCCACACGCTGATGCTATAAGTTTGATCAAAAGCGGCGGCAACAGAGTTCACTTGTTGATCACCAGAAATAACAAACCGGTTTATATGGGTAAGTAACAAATAATTTCAACGTGGTAAGCCAAGAAAGCTAACAGGCTCCCCTCCACCCTCTCCTCAGTAGGTGCAACAAACTTATCCGCTAGAATAAGTCACAAACCAGTTTCACTTAACGATATCGCTTCGTGTAGATAATGCAAATGTAACCGGTTTAACTTGGCAAGCTATAGGATAGTGTTTCCTTAGTAAGTGTATAGACCAGTTTGCTTAGATAAGTCACTAACTAGTTTTGCGGGGTGATTAAACAACCAACCGGTTTTTACTCGGTAGGCATCATTGGAGCGCTTTTCGATTGAGTTTCGTAAAAGTGAAACCAAGTCAATCACAACGTCCAATTAGAAGAAATAACCAAACTGTCTAACGCGCGGGAAAACGCGGGCGACCAAGTCTTTAGTTTTGCACCTGATTGGTTGAGAAAGTGCGCGAGTGTTTTTTGGACCCATCACAGAACGAAGTGAAGAAAAAGCAAAGCAATCCCGAATTACTATCGACTCTATATACAGGATGCGTGAGTTTTGAATATCACTGCATGTCTGGTTTTGTAACGTGTTCATTTAACAATTGGTTCATTGGTTCTTGAGTGCTCTCTAAACTTCCCAAGTGCTTCATATCTCGATGAACGCACACATGACATATGAACCAATTGTTTTATAACATTTTCAACCTGATGGAAATTTTTTTTCTCGAGGGATTTGTTTGCTGACGTCATGAGCGTGCACAATAGGAATATGAAGCACGCTCGCGCAATTGAATTTGATTAGACAAATTTACTAGCTATGTTATAAAGCATGTTTATAACTACTTGACGCACGCAACATCTAATCATCCTCACTTTGTTTGTTTGTTTTTTTTTCTGTAGATGGTATCCCAAACGGCGGACACACTATTCCTAAGAGTGGTAGCCTTCCTCGGTCTTCTTGGAAGAGTCAAACATACCATGGCATGTACCAGTCATAAAAAGTCGGAGGAAGTTTTTTCCTATGGTAAATTTTTACTAAAAAACCTGCACGAAGTTGTCATAAAATCGAAACTATTTTCAGAAACCATAAAATTTCTAAATTTTTGTCAATTGAATCTTTTCAGATGTTTTAAAATATTAGGGAATTTATAAACTGAGAGGGAGTTTGAGCCTGTTTGTTAATGAGTTCACTTTCCACATTTACCCTGTGTATTTATTCCAAACTTTTGTGTACATACATGTAACATTTTGTCATCGAGTTTCGCACGCTCACTGGTCAAAAATGAATTTCACTTCAAGTTTCAAGTCTCAGTTTTCGACTTGTCTACCTTTTCACTCCCGTTAATGACCAGGAAGTAATTTCTCCTTAAAATATCCATACGCTAGCAAGTCGGAAGGTAATGAGAGTAAAGAAAAACATCAACCAGAAGATATTCGACTAAATTGCAAATTCTCAAAACTAACATTTTAATAATTGTATAGCTGACAGTAAGGAGAATTATTGTTCAGATCTAGGGAGTGCAACGGAAAGACGAATTTATTTTGCGGCGTCTGTTGTATTTGTAGCTAGCCCGAGAATCTTCCTAATGCATATGAAAGTTGCGCGTGGTAATCTTTAGTTGTGCAAACTCCGTGTCCACGATCACATTATCTCAATATTTGTATAAAATTAATTGTGGTATAGGTATGATTTTACAGTTCACTTAGCCTTTACATGTTGCCATCATTGATTGAAACCAGCTCACAGCTCTTTTCTTATATCATCACCAATCTTCCTCCTCCTGTAAAATCTGCTTCTCCCCTCCACACATCCCCTGGAATAGACATTTTCCTGTCCAATTTTTTAACCAGAGTTCAATGTCCCCAACGCATTTCAGTACTATTTCATAAATGTAATAATAATATTATTTAGTGAATTCTTTGAGCAGACAGACGGAGTGTAATTTATAAACTTTGAAGTCCATACTCAAAAATGGAGAGAGCATAGCTTATTAGTTTTTCTTTTTAATTTTGTAAATTAGCTGTGCATGACACGAAGAACCAGTCGAGCCTGCGACATCGAGGTTCGTCGCTGACTTTGGTACATGCGTAGTCCAAAATTTACTCTTAAGACTTCTTAGTTCTGTGCCCTGCAACTGCCATTGCAATTTCTAGAATACAAGTTAGGCCTCTTTTAGAAGCGTAGTAAAACGTTTTCACGAATTTCCTGTTTTAAGCAATTTTTTTCTAACGTCATAAACGATATAAGTTGATGTTATAGTTGTTACGTGTGAGGAATTACATTGAAAACAGCTTTAAGATTTTATTCAAGCTTGTATTAAGGTCAGGCCTGAGCTCAATTCAGAAGCTACATTGCAGTAGCCACGCTAATTTTTTTGACATGTATAAATAGTAACGTAGCGATTTTTAAAATAGTTAAACTACTGAGAGCACTTAGAGTGAACTAGGTGTAAATTATGACGTAATTGACAGTTTGGCCAATGAGAATTGGGCGTAAATTGTGACGTAATTAACAGATTGGCCAATCAGAACGCCCTTTTTATGTTTTCTATTTAATTGTGATTGTATTAATCGTGCTTGGGTTTGATTTGCTGTATAGTTTTAGTCCTTTACACGTTAACAACATTCTTTTATTCTCTTGACCTAAATGTTTAATTCAGGGGTGATACTGTGTCGAGAAATTAGATACTAGTTACTCTTAGGATTTAAAGGATGAAAGACAGTCTGTGAGGTGTTTCGGGGTAAATTTTATTAGTTATATTCAACAATTCATCATAGGTACTATGATTCGAGGGAATTTAATAAACACTCTTTGTTATTCAAAAGGTCTGTGGAGAAGGTTGGTGAATAGCCCGGAGTGGTTTACAGCCTGTTCATCAGTATCGCTTGCGTATTGTGAGTGTGCGAATAAATTCCTTACAACAGGAGTGTATTTTTAAGCAATTGAATAGAATATAAATTGATTGATGTATTTTAGACGATATTTTTAGTGGACCGATCGTAAGATTCTCTCATCAGTTGTGATGCTGTGCTCACGCGGTAACATAAAATGCTGAATTTTATGCTGTTAATGAGATGTTTTATACTTTTATCAGAGTTTGATGGTTGTGCTATAATTCAAGTGTTTACACGTGTTGTGTAAATTGTAAAGTTTAATATCCTCGTCAGCGAAAGCTCTGCATCTCCTGATAAACATTTGTACATGTTGTAATTGATGAAAATAAAATAAAGTGATTGTCAACTCTCATTTGGCAACTAAACGTTTTAACATGTGAAATCCCGTGATCGAAAAGGGAATTTTACCAATAGATCACTATAAATGTCTTTGTTTGTCAGCACTGAAAATTTGGCGCTCTCAGGAAAGTATGAGATTTCAGCAACGCGACTGCAAGGGGTCTGGAACAATTAATTATTAGCCCCAGATCCCCGGTAAACCTCTCCCCGACACGGCTCAAATCTTTGCCCGGGTGGAGAAACGAGCGTCCTTCTGCGCTAGAGATGACGACCAGCTCACAGGCTCTACGGACCGCGAGTGATTATTTTCCTTAATTCTCTTTGTTTTCTTTTGTCTGAAATTTTTTTTAAGTTATAAGGGAGGAGATTCTAAAAACTCGTATCACATGTGAGTCAAGGACTTCAGCGTGAGGTCTTGAACGAGTAGGGCAAGCTGAATAAACGAGAATGTCTGCACCACATTGGTATTAAATGCTACCTTTTTCCTATTCGAAAAGTTCACTTATTAAAGCATAGGCGCCCTGTTGGTCCTGAATCGCCCCGTCTTTATTACATTGGAGGAATATAAAAAAAAAAAGCAACCTTATTTGTGCGCTTCTGCGTACCATCCTCACTTCTTCAATTACATTTTCCACAAGCTACGCTACCTAAATCACACGAATTTGAAAACGTAGAGTTCTATTTATTACCCGACCTGCTATCTATAACCACACCAGTATCCAGATTCATTGTTTTCCCAGAACGGAGCCTTTTAAGAATGCTGACATCACCAGACTTTGTGCGGGGCGGGGTGCCCTGTTAAAGGGGGAAGTAGAATAAGGCAACATTATACGCTTGCCTCAGGAAGTAGTAAAGCGTTTTTGCCGTCGATGGACAACCTCTTTTCCAGCGAGATCAGAAATTTTTTGTGTCATTTCATAGAGGACACAAGCTCCTTTCACGATGTTGCATCTAGATCCCTTTGTAGTCCCTTTGTGATTTAAATGTGTGAACATTGGAGTGAAACGAACGGATAAGTGCTTTCCTATAGCACTGTTTATATTAATTGCACCGTCCTGTTCAGTCGGTGAACGAAACCCTTATGGTCGACCATTCGAATAAACACGTCTGAGCAGTTGACATCTCAAAGCGGCCTTTTGTTATTAGCTAAATTAGCAAGGTAGTTGTCTGTAGATGGTCTTATTGGGTCAAGAAAAAAAACTAATGTGGAGGATTTGACTAAGTTTTCAATTAGTTTCCTTTAAATTAGGCAAGATAAATATTTGTGACACAAAAGCAAAGAAGACAATAGATCGAGATCTAGAGATTTTAATTTATTATTTTCAAACCTATAGTGATCATTTGTATCATTTTGTAATTGATATGAGGTATAAGAAAATGCTCTTCTGGACGAACAAAGATCCAGCTTGGAACAAATTCCAAATCATTTATTTAGTTTTATCTCAACACATGCGATTCTGAAAAACACTGCCGATAGCTCCAAGGAACCGCAATTTAATTAAAATCAACTTTAAACATTTTTTTTTCGCCCTTATGAAAAAATTCATTTAGGAATTTTTCCCGTTTTTAGGAAAAAAACCGTTGAAAACAGATATCCGTTTGATTAACTTCACACGTCATTAGCAGGTGGAAAGAAATCAATCTTGTCACCGGGGTTTTTTGTGTTCCTGCTCCTGCGAGCCAGAGGAAACAAGCATTCCTGGGTACGAGGTTGTCAAGACTTTTATCTTTGACTCCATTGGATTCTGCCCTAAAATTCTAGGTACTCCTTTGTATTTTTTTCTGCCCAAAAATGAAAAATAAGTGTTTTTTTTAAACTTCTTGGAGCCTTTGCTGAGAGAATGTTTACTCACATCCAATATGACAGTTGTGTTAACAAATTCATAATGTATTTGATTTTCTTATTAAATCGCGACGAATGAATCAGATTCCGTGCAAACATTTACCCAACGCTGATTATTTACCAAAGACTACTCAAATTTTCATTGCATTTGCTGAGAGGAAATCACAAAGCTTCCATTGAGCAAAGATGAGTTCGTTTTCTTTCAAACAGGTTCTTCTCGTTTTCTTCTGCTACAAGATATTACCAGGTACGATTTTTGAAGTTCATTTTATTTTTAAGTGCATCTCCTTTCATTCTTTCTACAAAACGACGTAGTCACTTTCCTGACCCGCGGTAAAATGCTACAAACAGGGCTTCAGACAGAGTCAATTCTCTTGAGAGACAAGATAGTTTTTTTTCCTCCTTTGCAAAACGGTTAGTTGCTTACTTCAAAAATTCTACTCTAATTCATGCCAAACTATTTCGCTTAATTTAATTTGAAATACAAGAAAATATTTGTAAGAAACTTTTAATGGATTGAATTTTCGAAACAAAAATCACAATACTCGCTGACATGCCTTTTTATTAAGCTCCAAGCGTATATCAGCCAGAATGGTACTCAGCTTCCATGGCAAGTTGGCATTGACACACTGGTACAACTCCACATGCAGAAAATCAACCCTAAGTTTGATATATCCAGGGCAAATGAAACTGATACATTGACCGACGTCTGAGATATTGGATTTTAAAGTCAGAGTTATGAGTCAAAAATATATCAGCTGCTGTTAAAGTAGTTCTCCCTGAATTTCTCAGATTTAGCACGCCTTCCTGGATGTGGATTTGGGTCATGGTATCACTGTAATGTTACCCCAGCTCTCTCCAGTCTGAAGTCTATTAAATTATTTTTTCTGGTCCCAGAAAAATGTAAAACTCGAAAGAATCTTCGATTTTCCAACCAAATCTGCTCTGCGACTTGTTTACTATTTACCTCGGCGGAAAAAATCTTCCCCATGTAGTTTATTAAAACATTCATTGAAACTAACATTTTCCCTTCTTTTCTTTAGGAGAGGCCACATGGCACAAATTAAATTTTGGTCCTCCCGCTTGCTTTGAGGCCAGAAATAATCGTCCAGGTTACGTCACTTACCGAGGCTCGCAAGGCATTCTGGTTGGTGCCTTGAAGCTTGTGCACAGGTCAGGCCACGTGCGATGCGTCTCGGATGTCGCTTTCAACAGTCGCTGGGGTTGCCATGATTACAGTTCTCTCAAGGCGAGCCCACTGAATGTGGTTATCACTGATAAGCAGAACAACCTGATCTTTCCGCTACCGCAGTTTATCAAAAATGCAGCAGGTTTATGGTACGACATGCCAGTGGTAGATGACTTGCACTCTGACGAGCTCGTGTTCTCCAACTTCGATTTCCCGTTGTATCTCCAGCCACATATGGAGCTCCGCGTTTGGTACGGCGAAGATCTGAAGAATTGGTATGAAGGGAGCAATCAGGGAAGGGTGTGTGTGGATGTGTTTGGTTACGTCATTGGAGACATTGGAGGCAGTCAAGGAGGGTCTTCGGGAGGCGGAGGGAACTCACGAGCGCAGGTCCTGCTGAAAGATCTCAAAGAGAGCTTGGGGAAGGTTATGCAGAACAACTGGAAGTGAACAGAATAAGCTCGACAAAGATATGCAAAGTGACATCATACGTCCTCCAAACCTTTGCTTTAGATGCTGATTTGAAATAAACAGCCATTTTAACTTCACTTATGTTGGAATGACATTTTGTGTCTGTACTAAAAAACAATGTTCTCTCCATCACAGAAATCGATACCCAATGTTTTAAAATTGAAAATACAAAAAGAAGGAAACTTGAACCTGCTTGCGTATGTACTACTTACCTTAAGAGCAAACTCTATTACTTTTTCTCTGTGATAAGAAAGTCACCCATTCTTAACTTTAGTCGCTTTTCTTGAACACAGTGTTACCTCACGAACACGAAAATTACCGCAGGAACACCTTTGTCTTTGTTATAAATTATTTTTGTCTGTTATTTATTTTTTTTTCGGAAGCGTGTCCATATCTCCTCGGTATGGCTAAATTGTTAAAAACGAGAGTGAAACAATGAAGTGTTATTTTCAATTATTAGGGCGTTTACCTCAAAACTTCAACCTCATGCACTCGACCCAGTTCTCCGCGCTCATCTTCAAACCTGTCGATCCCCAAGAGGCCCCTCACCAGTCCCCTCACCTGTCCTTATATCCGTCAGTTCCACCTTCGGTGATAGTACAGCGAGTTCCTAACTCTACTCTTCTGAATGAAGAGCCTTTAAGAGGTTTAAGCTGAGATAAATGACTGTAGCATTGTGATCACGGCTTAAAACTGTACAATAAACGGACTTACCAAATATTTTTACTGAATGAAGGGCAGGGAAGAGGTTGTAGCTGAGATAAATGACTGGAGCATTGTGCTTATGTCTTAAAACTGTACGAGAACTGACTTATCTCAAAATTGAAATTCGTAAATGATTTCACCTGCATGAGTCGCTGTATATTCAGAAACGGTATCATTGACGAGCCTGAATAAGGCGTGAATTTTGAATGCAACGTTTCTGGATTCAATGTACAAATAAGCAGTAACGTGGCATTCTACGAGCAAAAATCGAATAATCCATATGCACAGATTAATAAGAACGTAGCGACACTGTTGGATCAACTATCGTGATCTACAGCCGCTGCGAACCATAAAAAAACTGATGACGATCCTGTATCGATTCATGATCCAAGATCGATCGTCAAGTTAT